CTGCTGAATTTCACAGAGATTGGCGCAGATGCTTAAAAAGCAGAAAACTGAAATACCAGTTTCTGCTGGCGCTGGGAGGGGAGGCCTTGGGCAGAATCTTTCAGGCTGACTTGGGCTATGGCCTCCTGGGTGAATTTCTGACGGTGCTGGCAGAGAATGTCTGTCATGAAGACAGAGATGCCATCCTTCAGATCCTACAGAGCCTTTCGGGCACCAAGCGCTTCGGGTTAAACCTGGATCTTCTGAGTGAGCTGGAGAAGGAGAGCAGCAGGGATTTGTTTAGGAAGCTGCGGAGCATGAGCAGGGGGGATTGGACCGCCGGCCATCCCAGCAGCACGGCCGGCTGCGAAGCAGAGCAGGAAGGCAGCCTCATGGATGCCAGCTTGCAAAAGGAAACCGAGGAGGAAAGGAGAGTGCTGGAGTTGATGAAGTGTTACCAGATCAACTGAAGGAGCAGAAGCACCAGAATCGTGCAGAAATAGAGGGCAAACAGAGGCTCAAAGCTTGACTTTGGCATTGCTGTGTGAGAGGGGGATAAATCGGATACTTCTGGAGCACTGCTGTACCTTTCTCTGTACCTGGGAGCCACCCAGAGCAATAGTTCTGCACAAATAAAGGTTGGTTACTGAGAGGACTGCGCTGTGATCTTTGGGGCAGGGTGTCCTCACAGAACAGCTCTGTGAGAGTCTCTTAGATGCAGGGGGGGAGTCTCAAACATTACCTGTGTGGAGGGGCTTTGGCACACAAAGCCCTTGGAAAGCCATCAGGGAAGATGTAAAAGTCTAACTACCATGTTTGAGACCTCTTCTTCTGGGCTATGGAGGTCATCTGCCATCAGAGGAGGGTCTTCTCTGGGTTCACTGTACTTGGAGGGTTCAGAGCAATGATTAACATTCACTGCAACTGAGACTTTCAAGAAGATGGTGGCAATTCCCCTGTTGCCACCACGCTCCCCATTGCTGCACCCCTCCTCCATGGCTGTGCTGCACAAAGGAGCTGCCAGCTCATAGTCACAACACTCCAGAGCAGCTGGGAAGAGGGAGGGTTCTAGAGCCCGTGTCCCGGGGAACAGCCTGCCCCAGGGTTGTTCAGAGGGCTTCCCAGCAGGTACTGGGCTGGAATGGGATATTTCAGCTGCTGTTTGATCCCTGCTATCAGCCGTGTGCACTGAAGGCAGGGGGTCATTTGCAAACCCCATCTCGGGCCAGCGAGCTGGTGCGTGCATCGTCCCTGCCTGGCACTGACACTGCTGAGGCTTCCTGCCCTCCCTGCGGAGGACGTGGGGGCTGCAGAGGCTGTGCGGTGCGATGGGGACAGGGCTGCCGGGAGCTGCTCTTCTCCTCTGCCTGGTAGATGTTCTCCATGCTTTTGCGATTGAAGAGAAGGGAGATGTGTTCAAGAGAATGGCTTGTCCTGCTTTCCTGATGTTCGACAACGCCGCTTACCTGGCTGACATGACCTTCGAGCTCCCTTGCAAGTGCAAGCCTGAAGGGGTCTCTTCTGTCACCTGGTATTTCCAGAAGAACATGGGCAGCCGTAAAACCACGGTCCTGACGGACTTTGCTGGCAATCTGATCGTGGACTCAGGCCACATCCACGCCGGCAGTGACATGCTGAAGCGTTTCAGCATCCGGATGTTCAGCCTCATCGTCTTCCGAGCCCAGGCGACAGACTCAGGGCACTACCTGTGTGGCACTAAGGAAGGGGACTTCTTCTACGGCTACGACGTGGACGTGCAGCCCACCAAGTCCATCGTGGTGGCTTTTGAGGACAAAGGCCAGCACGTCCAGGATGACCGCACGGGGCAGCTCATCAACCTCTTCACCACCTTCTGGGACTGGACTCGGTGTGACCGCTGCGGGGTGAGAGGCGAGCAGCGGCGGATCGGGCTCTGCTACGTGCAGACAGCCCAGCTGCACCCCCGCTACCGTGCTGCTGTGCCCAACGTCACGTCCTGTGGCTCCAAGGCTGTCCCCGCTCGCTTCCAGAGCATGAGCCACCTCCGAAGCCCCGAGGTGGCCATCCGAAGCTGCGTGACCCCTTGCCGGACGGACGAGGTCCCCGAGGAAGGTGTGCAGACCATCTCCAATATCATTTCCAAGCTGGGTAGGAAGCCCTGGCTGCCCCATGTCCCCACCCAGTTCCACAAGCAGCCCATTGGAACCGACCTGATCATCGCGTGCCCAGGAGCCCGGCCTGAGCATGCCGTGGCCTGGGACAAGGACTCCGTGCGGCTCTACCTCTCCCGCTACCTCGTCCATGTCAACAAGACCATGCGGGTCTTCATTGACCACGGCAACCACCTGCACATCCAGCGGGTCCGGAGCAGGGATAGAGGCACCTATTTCTGCTGGCGGGAGGGCAAGATGGTGGCTGGCTTCCGGCTCAGCGTGTTCCACCAGGTCCGGCGCCGGCGCTCGCTCCAAGACCCCGAGACCATCTACGCCATGCGCATCATCGGCATCAGCTACATCATCATCAGCATCCTCTTCGTCGTCATCCACGTGTGCCAGTGCTGCTGGCGGGCGCTGAGGGGCCCTGTCTGAACCCAGCATCTCCAGCACGGCCCCAACGGGACACTCTTACCCCTCGGACCATTTTCCCATTGGAAATTCCTGGTGTTCCGAGCAGGAATTCGGGCAGCTGCTCAGCCTCCCTGCTGGGTCCAGAGAGTGATGGAGAGGCCCCAGTGTGGAAAACTCCTCGTGCTGCAGATTGGCTTAGCAGGGACACGAGGGGATTTCACACCAGCACCGTTTGTTCCTGGCTCTGCTGCTGGCTTCTGGTGGGGTTTTAAGCTCAATATAGTCCCTTCCAAAAGAGTTCCTGGAGTTGGTGCAGGATCCTCTGGCCAAGCTCTACAGAGTTCTCAAAACACATCAGTGATTTATTAGAGCTGGGTTGCTAAAAGGCTGCTAAAACCACGAATCAACCCATTTAAATCCAATTAATCCTGGCTTTCCTTACCCTGTTTGTTTGCTGAGAACTCGGAGTGCCAACACTTCAAACTGTTCAATGCTCCTTTGAGCTCCCCAGCTGGAGCGAGCCCTTTCTGCAGATCCAGGTCTCATCAGTTTTTAGTTCCATTTCTGAAAAGTCTTGTATTTTTTTATTTATTTTTTTTTTTAATTTTTCAAATCAATCTGTTGATTCTCTGAAGAAATTTCTCTGGGTTTTGGTTGCTTTGAACTCCCCTGACTCAGCACCAGCTTGGGAGCCAATAGTTACGCCTGACACAACTACCATGCATGGCCTCCAAAGAGGATGGCATCTCCACAGGGTTTCGGTGGCCTGGAGCAGGACTTCCTCATCACCCGTGCTTGAGGATGTGGCTGAGGGATTTCGGCTTTCCCAAGAGAAACCCCTCTGTCCAGGAGGGCAGCATCCAGGCTCCCTCACAGGTGTTGGCCCATGAAGCATCGGCCATGCCTTGGGGTACAGCACCGAGCTTGTGTCCCCCGATGGCTTTGAACTCAGTTTGAGCTCCCAAAGGGCCTTTCCACCCCGACTGATCCCATCTAACTCACAGCCCTGGCTGTGGAGAGGCGGTTGCAGGCAGAACGTGGAAGCAGAGCACTGGGTTTAGCTTTATTTCTCCTCTCAAGCTGCTGCGGGCGTTAGTGCATTAATTCAGCAGCAACGTGGGCTGCAAAGCTCCAGCTCGCAGGGGACTGAGCCCCCCGGGCCGCCACCATCCCACCCCCGATGCCAAACCCGGGCAGCACCCATCTCCTGAGGCATCTGCCCTTGGGAATGGCCTTTGGTGTCGGCGGTGGCAAAGCATGCTCAGCGCCGGAGCCAGGGGACGAGGGGGACGGAAGGGAGGAGGGGATGGCATCCGAGTGGCATCCCATGTGCTCACCCCAAAGGGCTTCCAGGTTGTTGCTCCTGTGTTAGGTGGCATCAGGGCAGGTTTTGCTCGTGGTGCAGGTGGGTGTAGGGGCTGCAGGGGAGCACCAGGCTGGGTGATGGCACGTGCTGGTCCGGGGGGGGAGAACAGGAGTACAGATGTGGGGACAGAGCCACGTGGAGCCCGAGGACAAGGGATTCCTCCCATCCCATCCATTCCTTGAGTGCCCGCTCTGAGGGCAGGCTCAGGCTCCATGCACTGCAGGGATTGACTGGGGCAGCCCCAATCCCAGTCCCCGTGGCTCCCAGTGGGACAGGCAGGATGGGGATGGCTCCATTTGTCCTTCTCCTGTCACCCCCCGCTCCATTTTCACCTGCCTGGGACCCCCCCAGGGCCATGGGTCACCCCTTGCCGTGAGTCCCTTGGGACGGTTTCTCCTCACCATGATCATAGGGAACGGTGGTGGTGGACACCCAATGCAGGGCAGGTCTGTGCCAGGAGAAGCCCTTGTGGCCACCCACCACTGCTTCAGCCCCACAGAGCAGCCCGGACACCCCAGCATCCCATCCTCATCCCTAGGAATCCCTCATTATCCTCATTTCATTCCCCTTTAACATCATCCCGACAGCACCCTGCCTCTCCATCCTCCTCTTCCTCCTCCCCATACCTCTTGGCTAAGCTCACCCCATGCTTGGTGATGGGGAAACGTCCCTGACCAGCCGGTACCTTGCACCCTGCAGCCCCCCAGCACCAAGGGTGCTCAGGGTCCGGATGCACTGGGGAGATTTGGGGTGACCTCCCAGCGCAGGCAGAGGGCACCAAGGTGGGATGCAGGCCCCAAATCCACCAGCCCCTCCATGCCATGGGAATGTGGTAGCATCCCTATTGGGAATGTCAGCTCTGCCCTGTTCTGTTCACCCCCCTTGGGTACTGTCCATCCCCAGCCAGCCGGGTGCTCTGCTGGGAGCCAGCTCCAAGCAGGGTGTCAGCAATGTCCCTGGGCAGGGGAGGATGTTGGAGATACAAGGGGTGGATGGGAGGGAGATGTCCCCACTGAAGCACCACCAGCTCCTCCTGGGGCTCCCTCGCAGCATAGGATGGGACCTATGGAGCTACACCTACAAGCGTGCGGCTGCTGCAGGCACCCGCT